GTGGTTCCTGAGCGCCGAAACGCAATTCCATAATAATTTGTGAGGACGTCGCACGCGAGAGCGCAGTCCTGAGTACATTGTGAGGAAATCTCGGGCGGGAGCGGGGGCCCTGACTAAGTTGCGAGGAAGTCTCAAGCGGGAGCGCCGTTCCTGAGCAAATTGCACGGAAGTCTCAGGCGGGAGCGGGGGTCCTCACTAAATTGCGAGGAAGTCTCAGGCGGGAGCGCCGTTCCTGAGTCAATTGCGCGGAAATGTCAGGCAGGAGCGGGGGTCCTGAGTAAAATTCGAAGAAGTCTCAGGCGGGAGCGCCGTTCCCACGTAAATTGCACGGAAGTCTCAGGCGGGAGCGGGGGTCTTGATTACATTGCGAGGAAGTCTCAGACGGGAGCGCCTTTCCTGAGTAAATTGCGCGGAAGTCTCAGGCGGGAGCGGGGGTCTTGAGTAAAAATCGAGGAAGTCTCAGGCGGGAGCCGTTGTTGTTGTAGCCCGGGGGGCAGGGGCAGAGTTTGAGCAGGAAGTTTTTCTTTGACAAAAAACAAGGTGCGAGCCCCGGGGGTGGCACTTCAATCGAAAAAAAATCAATGTGCACCGGTGGGGATCAACAATAATTATTCTTCAAGAATGAGAGTTCAACAACAACAACAACAACCAACAACAACAACAACAGCAACAGCAACGACAACGACAACGACAACGACAGCGACAACAACAACAACGACAACAATAACAACAACAACAACAACAACAACAACAACAACAACAACAACAACAACAACACCAACACCAACACCAACACCAACACCAACACCAACACCAACAACAACAGCAACCGCAACCGCAACCGCAACCGCAACCGCAACATCATCATCAGCAGCAACGACAACAACAAAAATCCGCATCGCGGAATTCCATTTCAGCCACGCACCCAGGGACTGTGAATGACCGTTCGGCTCCGCCCCCCCACTCTGATCTTCTTCACTGGGTGGGGGGGAACGCATGCGTGCGGTAGCAGTGGGGCCTTCGGTGGAGCTCCGTATGGGGCCTTCGGTGGAGTTCCCTATGGGGCCACGAGACGCTGTAGTGGGTGGGGGTGGCGCATGCGGGCGGTAGCTCTTTATGTGGCCACGAAGCGCTGTACTGGGTGGAAGGGACGCATGCGGGCGATAGCACTGGGACCTTCGGTGGGATCTCCGTATCGGGCCACGAAGCGATGTACTGGGGGGGGAGGGGGGGGGGGGGGGGGGGCGCATGCGGGCGGTAACATTGGGACGTTCGGTGGGGCTCCGTATGGGGCCACGAAGCGCTGTATTGCGAGGCGGGACGCACGAAACGCTGCATTGGGTGGGGGGGGGCGCATGCGGATTGTAGCGCTGGGGCCGTCAGTGGAGCTCTGTATGGGGCCACGAAGCGCTGTATTGGGTGGGGGGGACCGCATGCGGGCGGTAGCACTGGGACCTTCGGTGGGGCTTCGTATGGGGCCGCGAAGCTGTGTACTGGGCGGGGGAGGCGCATGCGGGCGGTAGCACTGGGACCTTCGGTGGGGCTTCGTATGGGATCACGAAGCGTTGTACTGGGTGGGTGGAACGCAGGGCGGATGGAGGAGGGGGGAGGAGGGAGGAAGGGGAGGAGGAGGGAGGAAGGAAGAGGAGAAGGCGGGGACCGTCAGTCAAAACGAGGACCCGACACCACAGGATGGCTGGGAAACAAGTCAGAGCCTCTGTTGGATGCCGTCGCCCGTGTCTTCGTGCTTACGTGCCCCGCCCCTATGAATGCCAGCATTGCGCGCGTGGGAGAAATGCGGGCCTTCTCCTTTTCCTCCAATGAACTTTAGGATTGCTATGGGCCGCGCGAGGCCCTTGGGCCACGCGAGCTGCGCCAGTCCCGTGAAATCTACAAGTCCCGGAAAAGGTTTCCTGGGCCACATGGGGTCCGCAATGCGCATGCGCTCAATGCGCCGCGCGAGACAGGTGAGCCGCGTGGGCCGCATAGGCCCCCTGACTTGTCAGGGCCTCGTCGGGCTTTTGGGCCTCGCGAGCCCCGCGGACCAAGGCAGCCCCATGGGTCCCAGGGGCGCCATGACGCCCATGCGGTTTTTGTGCTTCACCATGCGAGCCCCATGGCCTGCGAACTCGGCGAGCAACGCGAGCGGCCTCAGGCTTTCTGGGCTCCTCTGGGCCACTCTGCCCCCGCAGCAGGGGAAAGGCCCCAGACTTCCCAGTGGGGCCTCCAGCGTTGGCGCCGGAAATGTGCCAGTGCCTGCGGGCCGGGGTTCAGAGGGCGCCGCGCTCTCGGGCCCCCTGGCCGCGCAGGGCGGCAGCGTCCCCCTGGCGCGGGGAGTAGGCGGTGGATTCGGAATCGTCGGGTGCCGTCTTCAGGTTCGCGGAGGGCCAGGGATGCCACAGGGGCAGGCACGGGGCGTGTGGGAGGAAGAGGAGGAAAAGAGTGGGAGGGGGATAAACAGGTGGGGGGAGGCGTGGAGGAAGGCGGCGGTGGAGTCAGGGAGGGTTCGGTTGTGGAGGAAGCCGCATCCTTCCCTCTCCTCCCCCTCTCCCGAGAATGCCCGCCAGCTTCGCCTCTCGCCTGCACTTTTTGCTTCGTGCCCTCCCTCCTGCGCGCTGCGCGATGTTCCCCTACTCCCCCTCCCCGCCCCCCTGCGATTCCGGAGGCCAGGACGCGCTCGCGCTGGCCGGAAACGAAATTCCAATTTCTAAGGAACAAATGCTTCATTGGTGCCGGTGTCAGCTGTCTGTCCTCCCACGCGAGGGCTGGTTGGGGGGTCCACCTCGACGACAGCGCCGCGGGCCGCGTGGGCCGCAGTGGCCTTGTGGACAGCGCGCAGACGGCGAAGGTGCCGAGATGTGGGTGCGCACGCAGGCGCTGCACCTGGCGGGCGGCCGCGTGGAGGCGGTCACCGACTCCGCGTTCAGCCTCGGGTTCGCGGCCCGGGGGGCGCTTGCCCAGCCGAGTGGGCGCATGCCGACGTCGGGGAAGACATCGCCCCGCACTGCCGCAGCGGCGCCTGGTGGGTCAAGGCGTGCCTGGACGCCGACGCGGCGCGCGAACGCAGGCTGTCGGAAGAGGTCCGCGGAGGCTCGGCCGGCAGGAACGCAAGCGCCATCAAGACGCGCTGGCCTTGGTCCAAAGGGTCCCGGCCTCATTGGAGCCAGCGGCGCTGAAGGCCAACCTCGCGCCGCGCGCCTGGCAGGCCCGCGAGTTCGACGCTGGACGGCTCTGCGGCCCCGGCTCTGGTGGGCCGCGCGTCGCGGGCAGCGAAGCCGGGTGCCGCAGTGCAGAGGGGGCGTGCCGGCGGCCGCGGGCCCAGCGGTGCTGCAGTCGTGCCGCCACCTGCGCCGCCTTCGCCGCCGTCTGCAGTCCGGGCGCTGTTCGCGGGCCAGCCATGGCCAGCGCACGTCGCGTCCCAGGGGGTTGGGTTCGGCGGTGGTGGAGGCTGGCAAGCCGGCCGTGCTCCACAAATCGCCTCTTGGACCATTCTTGGAGCGCTCTTGGGGCGCTCTTGGGTGCTCTCGGGGCCGTCTTTGGGCGCCCTCTTGGACCATCTTGGAGCCATTTTGAGGCCTCGGGAGACAATCGGAAGCAGAAAGGCGAGAGAGCGGCACTCATGGAATTTTCGTTTGGTGTTTGAAGGATGTTGGCCTGTTGGCGGCCTCAAGGGGCGCCGTTTTGGAGCATTTTTGATGTTTCTTGGAGCAGCTTGGGAGCCGTACTGAGCCATATCTTGGGCCGTCTTGGAAGTTGTTTTGGGCTCACTGAGGCCCTCTCGGAGCCGTCTTGGGCCATCTTAGATGCTCTGACCGCTCGCGGGGCGCCCCGTCCAGGGGAGGAGGGAGGGGAAGGGGTCAAGACACCGTCCTAGATAGCAGGCCATCTAGCTCACTCCCACCCCCCCTCCCAACGCACAAGAAAGACCCGAGCCAGCGGTCGTCTTTGGATGGACAGCAGCGGGGAACCAAAACCGAGCCCATGTGCGCGACGCTGGGGCGAGGTGCGCCACGCGTGCCAGGCGCGCCACGCGCGCCAGGCACCCCTGGGTCTGGAGCGTGCCAGGCACCCCTGGTGCGCCAGACGCGCCACGTACCTCCGCGTGCGCCAGGTGTGCCATATACTCCAGCCGCGCCAGATGCGCCACGTTCAGGGCACGTGCAGAGTGTGTCAGGTGCGCCTGCGCACGTGACAGCACACATCGGGAAACATGTCGGCCCCCACCATCCATCTCAACATCCAATGCCCATCATTGTGTCAGGTGGGCCTGCGCACACCTGGCCACACGCCACCAATTGACAGTGATCGCGGGGTGGCCGCGCACGATCCAGATTTAGCTGCGTAGTACATGTTATATTGCTTTCTTTTGTCAGGGGTGGTAGCCTTGCGCGAAATGCTGACACCCCCGCCGTCCCTGTCAACGAAAATACAAAGTGCTCGCGGGCCTCACGCACATGACTCCAGTTTCTGCCCCAAAGTGTATTTTTTTTGGGGGGGGAAGTGATGGTGGGGAGCCCTCATGGGGTCCTCATTGTTCTTGGTTGGCTGCCGGTCGCCTGGGGGGAGGGGGTGTATGCGCATAGGGAACAGTGATTAGCCTCTCCCCGAAGTTGAAGAAGGGGGTTGGAAGAGGAGCCTCCCTAGATGACCTATGCCCAGAGGGCTGGTGGGATTTTGTTGAGCTGTCCCACAAGTGTGCTTCATTGTCCTCCAAGGAGGAAGCCAGACAGGCGTAGGATTAGGACACATCGTTGAGGGACAGTCTGGAACGCTTTTAGAGCATCCCAGCCAGGGCTCTTTCCATGGGCCGCGGCGCCCGAGAATTCCTCAAGTGCCGCCAGCTTTCAGATATTCCCGATGTTCTATCAGATCCGAATGTATGTTCATCCTGCCTTCGTCTTATGGATGAGGAGGAGGAGGCGAATGGTGGACAAGGAGGAGGAGGAGGACGAGCATGAGGAGTAGGAGGAGAAGGAGGGAAGCTCGATGTACCCTCTCAGGCCGCCGAGGCCCAGCTGCGCTGCGTGGAGGAGGCCAGCTGCAGCCCCCACCTCCGTCCGATCCCCCCCCCAGGCGAATGCACATTCGAAGCGTGTTTAGAATTCTTGGCGCAACGCGTATCCCAACCGACCCAGCCCAGCGGAGTTGTCAGTGAAGGGGTGGAAGGGAAGTAGAGAAGTACAGAGTGAAACGTGGGGGCCATCCAAATGCGAGCTTGGAGACCTCCTGGAGCTTCGTGGCGGCCTCCTGGAGGCATCTGGCAGGCTTCTCGGGCCTTCTTGGAAGCCATTGAGTATTTGAGGCCCCCCTGGGGGCTATTCTGGAGGCCATCGGTAAAAGCAACGGGCGGGTCGGGGACAGACAAATCGTTCCCTGGGGCCCTCTTTGGACGTTTTTGGGGCGCTCTGGGAAGCCTTTGCGAGCCTCTCTTGTGGATCTCTCGGACGATTTGGTAGCCATCTTCGAATAGGAAAACATAGACGCATGCACAAGTAATCGTCGATGCTCAAGACAACATGGTAAGACATATGGAAAGTGGAAGGGAAGACGAAGATCCAGACGATATCTGAAGATACAGGGGTCCTGGGAATGGCGTTCATTTTTCTGTGGGCCCCTCTGATCTTGAGGACTCCGAGGCCCATCAATTAGAAGGCATGCCGCAGGCCATCTTGGGCTATCCGGGGCCCTCTTGGCGGCCATCCTGGGCGCTCGAACTGCCCGCGGGGGCTGGGGGCGCCCAGGCCCGGTGGATCTGGGCGAAGGGGAAAGAGGGGTGTGCAGAGCAGGAGACGGAATCTGATATGGACAGATGCCGCCGGGAACCAGGGCTGGACCTAAACGGTGTTTTGGCGATTTCGTGGGCCGTTTTCGTTTCGATTTCGTTTTGCGCCAAGGGTGGATTGAAGACAAAACGAGGGTATACAAAAACAGCACGAAACCGAAACACACCGTTTAGGTTCAGCCCTGCCAGAAGCCTGCGAAGGCTTCAATGACCCGTGGATGCTCCGGGCCACTGGGGACCTCTGGAGACCCTGGGCCCCAGAGACCTGGCGGGGCGAATATCTATTCGGCCTCTTCGAGTTGATGCAGGTGGTCGCCGTCGATCACATTTCGAGAGGAGTCGGACGCGCTGGCCGGGCAGTACGTTTTTTCCTACATGTCCCCCCTTCTTCCACGTTCCACCTTTCTACCTCCCGCCCCCCTTTCCCTCCCTCTTCCCTCTCTCATCCCCGCGCCCTCCCTCGGGCCGCCCTGGCCCCCTCCTCCCCGCTTGCCCTGCGGCAGGCTTTCGAGACGCTGCAGCTCCGCATGCAGGCTGCGAGGAGGGCTAGTAGGATGAGGAGGGGGAATATAAACAGAAGAGTAAGCAGAAGAGAAATACGACTACCAATATTATATCGGATTACGCCATATCCGCCGACCCTGTATCAACTACTACGCCTCCAGACTGCATTTCACGAGGGTTGTCCGAGTCACGACACGGCGTTCGGGAACCAGGGGAGCAGACTTTGTGGGTCGCAGCGCGAGATCGCCCGTGCCATGGGGTGGGGGGAACAGAGACGGCCGTATACAGTGGAGGGCAGAATGAGTTGGTTGGGGTACCACGGGGAGGTGTGCGCAAGCTTGCCGGGGTGGCTGCTCTGGCAAAGGGGATGCCTGTAGCGTTTGGGCATTCTTTGGATCGGTAGAAACAAAAGTTTCTACGGAGACGCGCAGCGACGGTTTATGGGTGGGTATTGCACGAGGATGAGGTCGTGGGAAACGAGAACGAGGAGGTATTGTCACATTTGCCCAAAAAGATTGCGTTGGATTTCCATGCGAAGGAGTGGCACTTGCCAGGGTGGGGGCCGGGGCTGTATCCAATTGTCCCATCGAAAGGGCGCCAATGGTTTTCGAATGAGTACCGGAAGCATCCATAGTTGGGCTTGAAGCGCACGCACTTCATGATCGCGCCAGCGTTAGCAGTGACGGCGCGCGCCGCGCAAGGACGGACACTGGGCGCAGTCGTAGCGGATCTCAAGAGACGACGCGGCGCAAGTTGGACGCTCATGTGCGCGGCCATTGCGCGAGCGCGAAGGCGGGGGAACTTCTTGATATTCTGGCCGTTCGACAGGAACCGGCGACTACAATCGGTGCGGTTTCGCTGGGGTGCGGTTTGCGAGTTGCTTTGTGGCGGCCTTTTCCGGGGCCTGTTGTGAGAGACGGTGTCATAATTGTCGTCGTTTCGAGCGACACTGTCATCCTCGATGTGTGCTCCACTGTACTAGAAGGAGCAACGGTGTCATGTGATTCGGTCGCATAGAGTGACAGCGTCATCCGTTTCCCGGGGGCGGGAGGGGCAGATATGACGGGAGGCAAACCGCACCCTTCGCAAACCGCACCCGTTGTAGTCCCGATGGAAGCCCCGTAACGAAGGGGAGATGCCTGGCACGCAGAAGCTGCTGCAGGTTCTCAAAGGGGAGAGTGCGCATTGGGATGGGTGGGAGGTGAAGGTCATGCCGCGAGGCCACCGACGTTGGCTGCTGGCCGAGGCGTTCACGAAGTACGAGTTCCAGCGAGAGGAGAAATTGCGCAAGACGTGCGACACATGGGCAACGCAAGTGCAGGGCGACGGATGCGCGCGGGAGGGCGGCGACGGGGGCGCGGGGGGAAATGGCGACGGCGCGGGCGCGACGAAGCTTAGGGCGTTGCATTGCGCAAAGTGCAGCGATGATGACAGAGCGAAAGAGGACTCGCGCGCGGGCAACGCGAAGTGGCAGAGGAGCGCGACAACTGTGCGATGTTCGAGGAAGACGTGCCTGGCGCTGTTTGACGGGCAGAGGGAAGTGTCGGGCGCGCAGAAGAAAGCACAACACAGCAGGGATGAGGCCGCGTAGGGAATGTCCGGAGGAACGCGAGAAGTCGATTCGCGAGTCGAATCATAGGAAACGAAGGTAGAGGCAGGAGCAGAGCTGTTTACGTGCTGCGCACCACGATGCGGAGTGACCATTTGGGATACAGTCCATTCGGATCGCTATCAGGTGGAGGACCGCCGGAAGAAGAAAGGAACCATAATGGTGTGCGAGAACTGTGGCAAGCGCGGCAGGACCTCGAAGGGAGTATCTGATGGGTCGAAGCGTATGAAGCGACTGCTGACGCGTGCAGCGCGCAGGAAGGAGTTTGCCAGGCAGCAGCACATCGACGAACAAGGGAGGAACCAAGTTGTTTACGAGGAAGAGTAAAGTTGCACGCGCAGGTTGCATAGCCGATGGGTTCACGGCGCGCACTTGGCATGGGTGCCATTGCAATGGCAAGTGCCGAAAGAAAATGCCGAAGTCGGCCTTCGCCGCGGGCAGTGACCATGTCGCGCGCGACGAGAGAAGGGCATCCCGAAATGCAAGACATGCAAATCTTATTCGTACGGGGGCCTGCGCCAAGGCCCTTAGATGCAGGGCCCGCGGGAGCGAGGTCGACAGGGAGGACGAAACAGACGGACGAAGAGGAGACGCAGCAAGCGAAAGCGGAGGATAATGGCGACAGGGAGGGGGAGAGGCGGAGGAGCGTAAGGAGGACGCAGGGAAGCGGAGGGGGGGCAAAGGAGGAAAAGGAGGAGGAGGAGGAGGAGGAGGAGGAGGAGGAGGCGGAGGAGGAGGAGGAGGAGGAGGAGGAGGAGTCACGATCTGGGGTTGGGACCTGCACTCCGGTATCCTAATTTTTTCGAGGGCTCAGAGTGCAGATGGCTCTGTGGACCAGCCCAGTGCCCCATGCAGCGTTGCATCCGTCAGGTCTGCAATCCAGTGGCCTTCGGCCTATCCCGCCGCCGCGCCTGGGTGGTGGGTCAGGAACCTCATGTATATTGGTTGGGATCTCGTGGTTGGTTTTTTTTCGGGGGCCTGTGGTAAGCAGTATGGATGCGTTTTGGGGGCCGTTTTTTTGTTTCTTGGGGTTTCTTCGTAGTTTTTTGGAGGCCTCCTGGGGCGTCTTGGAGGTTTCGTGGAGGTTTTTCGGTGCCTCTTTGGGCCCTCTTGAGGCCTCTTGAGCGCGTCTCAGGGCGGAAGGCTAGATTCGTCAGCTCCTGGTTCCAACTTGGGCCTCTGTGGGCCCCGTCTTGAGAGCCGCTTGGGCCGTTTTCAGAGCCTCTTGGGCCGCTTGGGGACCCTCTTGGGCCGCCTTGGGGGCGGGGGCTTCTCGGGCCGTCTTGGAGGGGTCTTGGGGCGGTCTTGGAGCAGCGGGAAGCCGTAAGGTCGAGAACCCCGATAGTTTTGACAAAAAAACACAAACAGGAAAATCAATCATTGTCGCCTCGTGGGGCCCACGTGGGAGGCCTCTTGGAGGCCTCATGGGGCGATTTGGCGGCCTGTAGGGCCGTATTGGGGCCATCTTGGGCGTCTTGGGGCCACGTTAGGCGTCCTGGGCGATCTTTGGGTTCTCTTGGACCGTATTGGTCTGTTTGGGTGCCCTCTGTCCCTCCATGGCGCGCTCGGTCCGGGGTCGTCCTGGGCCCGGGGAGGGTCGAGTCTGCGGTTCGGGGCCCCTGGGAGGGGGGGGGTATGGGGGGGAACTGTCCCGCGCGCCTGGAGACCCACAAAGCGTCGGCGGATGAGTAATACTAAGAATAATAATAATAATCATCCGAGTGCTAATAATACATATAGTAATACAAATAATGTTACGAATATTAATAATAGTAATAATGAAAATGATAATGGTAATAATAAGGATGGTGATACTAATAATAATAATAATAATAATATTATTATTAATGATAATAATACTAATAATAATAATGGTAATAATAATATTATTATTAATAATAATAATATTAATAATATTTAGAAGAAGAGTACGCATACGAATAAGAAGACGCTATTATCATAATCATAAGCCTAAGCAGAAGCATGAGCAACATATTGCGAAGGCCTGACGGCCGGTGCCGCCGACCCTGTTCGCAATGCGCAGCAAGAGGCACGGGCTGTGGGATGGTTTGGGGGAACGGGGAGAAGGACGAGAAGGTGGGGAGGGAGGTGTCGTATCTGACCCGGGACTTCCCCGGGACTCCCCCGGGACCCCCCCCGGGACCTCCTCTCCCCCCCCCGTCGGGGAAGGGAAAGGGAAGGGGCTTCCCTTCGACTCAATGACGACGTTGCTCAAGGTCGGTACGGGGGGGGGGCGTCGTATCTGACTCGGGGGGGGGGTCGCTACCCCCCCCGCTACCCCCCCCCCCCTCCCGGCGGGGGAGGGATCAAAGGGAAGGGGCTTCCCTTCGACTCAATTACGAGGTTGCTCAAGGTCGGCTTGGCTGGAGCCCAGGGGAAGAGGAGTCCCAGGGGGGGGCGTCGTATCTGACCCGGGGGGGGGGTCGCTACCCTTCCCCCCCCTCCCGGCGGGGGAGGGATCAAAGGGAAGGGGCTTCCCTTCGACTCAATTACGAGGTTGCTCAAGGTCGGCTTGGCTGGAGCCCAGGGGAAGAGGAGTCCCAGGGGGGGGCGTCGTATCTGACCCGGGGGGGGGGTCGCTACCCCCCCCCCCCGGCGGGGGAGGGATCAAAGGGAAGGGGCTTCCCTTCGACTCAATTACGAGGTTGCTCAAGGTCGGCTTGGCTGGAGCCCAGGGGAAGAGGAGTCCCAGGGGGGGGCGTCGTATCTGACCCGGGGGGGGGGTCGCTACCCCCCCCCCCCTCCCGGCGGGGGAGGGATCAAAGGGAAGGGGCTTCCCTTCGACTCAATTACGAGGTTGCTCAAGGTCGGCTTGGCTGGAGCCCAGGGGAAGAGGAGTCCCAGGGGGGGGCGTCGTATCTGACCCGGGGGGGGGGTCGCTACCCCCCCCCCCTCCCGGCGGGGGAGGGATCAAAGGGAAGGGGCTTCCCTTCGACTCAATTACGAGGTTGCTCAAGGTCGGCTTGGCTGGAGCCCAGGGGAAGAGGAGTCCCAGGGGGGGGCGTCGTATCTGACCCGGGGGGGGGGTCGCTACCCCCCCCCCCCTCCCGGCGGGGGAGGGATCAAAGGGAAGGGGCTTCCCTTCGACTCAATTACGAGGTTGCTCAAGGTCGGCTTGGCTGGAGCCCAGGGGAAGAGGAGTCCCAGGGGGGGGCGTCGTATCTGACCCGGGGGGGGGGTCGCTACCCCCCCCCCCCTCCCGGCGGGGGAGGGATCAAAGGGAAGGGGCTTCCCTTCGACTCAATTACGAGGTTGCTCAAGGTCGGCTTGGCTGGAGCCCAGGGGAAGAGGTCTCCCAGGGAAAGGGAAGGACAGAGACGACGAGTACAAAGAATGACGGAGATGACGGCTCGAACGGAAAAGCCCCTCACACACGCCGACAGGGTCGGCGGATTTGGCCGTGCGCTGCATGTCTTTTGTCTCATGCCTGATGCATCGGACGCAACTCTACATTCGGGCGGATCAAGAAACGAGGAAGCTTTACGTTCGAGGTCAGGGTGAAGCTCACCGTGCAGCCCTGCGAACCCAAACGAGTTTGAGGACCGATCGCAAGAAGTGAGACCCGTGCGAGCGGGGGATGACTGGGGGTCTTCTTGGAGGCCTTTTTGGCAGTGTTGGGGTTGTCTTGGTGGAGGCCTCTTGGGCCGTCTTGGAGCGTCGAGAAGCCGAAAAGGCGAGAATGCCTACATCCATCAAGAACCTCTTGGGAGGTTCTCGGAGGCCTCTTGGGGCGTCTTGGAGGCCTCTTGGGCCATCTTGAGTTATCTTGGGCCTTGCCGCACGGGGGCCGAAACTTCCAGAGAGCGGCGAGCTCAAGGCAGGCCCCTGGAGCACCCGAGCTCCCCCGACGTCAGTCCCAGCCACCCAGCAGCAAGCACTGACGGACGATTCCAGAGATCCGACGCCCCCCAAAAAAATTGGAGCTGGCGGTTTTTGACAGTTTTCGGCTTCTGGGGGTTCTCGTCAGGCTGGGGGAGCGTCAAACAACGACTCAAGAGGAAAAACTGGCCCTGGGGAAATGGTCTGGCCCTCAGGGGCCCACGCATCGAAAACATTTGAGCAGCCGGGTGTCTGGGAATGGGTAGCGACGGAGCGAGAGAAGCGACCAAAGAGGACGAGCACGAGCGAAAATCTGGGCGAGGCGAACACAGGAAAATGGGCAAGTAAGCCGCAGCGGTGGGAGTGGACGGGGGGGCGGGGACAACTGCCCAGCCAAACAGTTCGGCTGAGACAAGGGAGTGGGAGGAGGCAGGTAGCTTGGCGTTTCCATGCAGTCGCAGGAGGCTGGCCCGCAGGAACTCGGGGGATGAGGACGCCGTAGGCGATACCCTTGAGGACGAGGGCGGTGCCGATCTCTAGGAGAAAGGAATGCAGCTTTGCGTGATACTCCGGTTGCGCAGTCATCGCCAATTGGGTCCTACGTGCCCCACCCCACCCAGGAGCGCCAGGTTTCGCTGTCGAGGGCCTACGGACCATCCGTCCGCGATGGACCGCCGATTCCACGTCAAGTTGCCCCCCCTTGCAACCAGACTTGAAGCGTTCTGATTTTTCAATACGCGGTTCCTGGAAGTCCCGGCCCTTTCTGTGGGTGGGCGTCGCGCAATGGGGGGGCGAGAAACGGGGGGGGCAGCGAGGGCTGCCGAAAAGTTGCCCTTTACCCATAATGCGCCGCCCAGCCCAGGACTGGCTGTGCATCCTGCGTCGCTTTTGCGACGGTCCTGGGGCGGCCCGGCGAGGGCCTCCAGGGTCCGACAACGGCGAACACACGCACTTCCGTCCTGATTTCTCTTGGCGGCGCGCTCTGGGTTTGGGCTCTCGCCCCCCTGACAGGGCCCATTGAAGGCCTTCTGGGGGTCCGCTGAGGCGGGCCCCCGCCGCTGCCGCGCCTCTGACGGCGGTCCCGCCGGACTCGGGGGCGCGCATTCGCGCGCTCCGAGCGGCCGCCCCCAGGCCCAGCTGCCGCAGCGGCCCGCCTGCGCCGCGCTGGCGGGGCTGTCGGCGTCTTCACCGGCGGCTTCGTCGGCGTCTTCGTCGGAGTCTTCGTCGGCGTCCTCGTCGGCGTCTTCGTCGGCGTTTTCTTCGTCGGGGGTGGGGGGGCCGTTGGTGTCGTCGTCGTCGGCGTCGTCGGCGGCAGCATCGGTGGCATTGGCTTCGATGGTTCGAGCCGCACAGGGGGTGGGCAGGGGGCGGCTCGTCGTCGGCGGCGTCGTCGGCGTGAGGCTCGAGGGCCCGAGGATTGAGTTTTGAGATTTTTGGGCGAATCTGGAGCTGCTCGTCGCCGCGGCCGATCGCAGTTGGAGAGACGAAACCCGATGGTCCCCGGGGGAGGCCCGATTTTCGGTCAGACGGAGTCATCGCCGTCGGTCGTCATCGTCAGCCTCCACCTCCCACCTCCGAAGCGGAGGGGATCGGACGGGGCTAGGACGAGGATAATTCTGTTCCAGAGCGTTCCGAAAGCCCTCAGAGCGTTTCGGAACGCTTTGAGAAGGCCGCGACGCCCAAGACATCCTCCAGGGCCGCTGGATCTCAGAGATTCTCGATTTATCATCACCCGATTCCATCCTCGTCCTGGCTTCGTCTTAGGGGAGAGGAGGAAGAGGATCAGGATACAGATGGGAGGGGAGGGGGAGTAGGAGCGTGAGGGGAAGGAAGGGGGTTAGGGCAAGGAGACGGACAGGAGGGCCTCGCGACGATGAGGAAGACTTCCCCAGAGGCACAGCCTACATCGGTGTGCGGTGGAGGAGGAGGGGGCGTTGGAAGACTCCCGGAAACTCCCGTCGAGAGTATTATTGCCGAGAACCTTGTTGGAGAATTCCACGGTAGCTTTCGCTGCCCTACCCCTGTTCTTTCTCCTCTTGCTCCTCCTCCTCCTCCTCCTCCCTCAAACAACTTGGGATCAAATCTGCAAAGCCAGGCTGCATCCAGCACTGAACCTGCGCGTGGTGCTGGGGGGTTACCACGGGCACACGACACATCAGTTGTTATGAGACCGCGGCTGGCTAGACAGGGCGAATCCATATCCTCAATGTCTCGGCACTGGACCATGTGCCCTACCTTCAGTTCTTGGGACGGGAACTCCAACCATGAGAGTCGAGGGTGCCGCTGCGCCCAATGTGGAAACCAGCTCAAGCTCCACAAGGGCGGCGCCCAGCTGCACAAGCCTGTTCGCGAGTTGGTGAACCAGCCTCAGCAGCAGCAGCAGCAGAGCCAGCTCCACCAGACGCAGGCCCTCGTCGAGGGGCAGTTGCAGGGGCTGGCGCAGACCGTGGCGGTACCGCACTCGGCCCAGGTCACCGAGGTGATCCAGGCCCAGTTGGCACTGCAGCCCGACGAGGGCAAGGCCACAGCAGTCGAGGACGCCATCAAGCGCACCCCGTGGCAGTGGCGTGACGCGAACATCACTCACGACCCAGGCAGTTGCAGCAGTGGTGCGCTTCAGGGGCAACTTAGAGCGCGAGGCAGCGCTTGTCCTGGCGCTGGCCGACTAGGCCAATCGACAGGCCGCTCTCTCGCCGGCCAAGGATGTCGAGGGGCCTGCAGCGCGACAGCCTGGGCAGGCGGTCCCGAAGGCGGCCTCCGACTTCATCTGGGACGAGAGCCTCTTCAAGGATTTGGGCGAGCTCGAGGGCATCGAGCAGTCCCAGAAGGAGGACCTCCAGACGATTCATCAAGAGCTGCAGCAGCACAACACGTCGCTGGCGGCACGCTCGGGCGAAGAGAAGCGGGGCATGACCAAGGCCACGGCGCTGCACGACGCCATCACTACCAGGATGCAGAAGAAGCGCGGGACTCAAGAAACCGCAGATCCAGGAGATGATGGCCTTGATATTCTCGGTGGCGGTGATCCTCAGGCGGCACGCGCCAAGAATGTCGAGCCTACCGGTGCACTCGGAGCTGGAGGAACACCACCGGCGGTTTCAGCTGACGCAGCCGCGGCTTCTACTGAGGCGGCCGCCGCAACGGTGGACTCAGCGGCGGCGGCGGCGGCGGCAGCAGCCACGTCGGCCAGCAAGTTGGCGGTGGCGGAGGCCGCGGCCCGCGCCAAGGACGATATCCAGAATTCGGCGACGGCCTGCACTGGCAAGCGCATGGGCGCCAAGGGTATCAAAGCATAGGAAGAGATTGAGTTGCATGGTCGAGGCCTCCGACCACCGAGGAGCAGGCCGCTTCGACCAACGAATTACGTCAGCTCCAGCGTGCCAGTTGTTGGTTCCGTTAGGTATGTTTTTTGTACAGCAGATCTCGATGCACGATGCACTGGAGGACAGCGCGCCTACCACTGTGGCTGCGAGCGCACAGAGTACGGCGTCAGCCTTCTCATAACCCTCGCCTATCAGATTCCGCGTCGAGTTCGTCGAGCGGGCTGGCAGCTGCCAGTTCACCCCTTGGACAGCGAAGGCCCGCCCGGATTGTTGACGCGATCTGGCGGCCACAGGGAAAGGACATCGCAGTTCATTCACGCGCGAGTCCCCCGCTCCAATCTGTGTCCAAATCCACGCATCAGGACCCCCAAGATGGCGAGATCTTCAATGTTTGAATGGCCCGCTCGGATTGCCAACGTGATCTGGCGGCCGCTCATGGAGGCCCCCCCCCGCGCCTGGAACTTCTCGACATTTCATCACAGACCAGGCCTCGGTTCGAGATTCCTTCCAGACCCTCGCCTCAGATGCCCAAACATGACGACACGAGGTTTGGATGACCCGCTCGGACTACTAACGTGATCTGGCGGCTCCATATGGAGTGGCTCCAGCCTGAGGCCCTCGCCTTGCAGTCGCAAGCGAGACTCTCTCTCCCTCTTTTTTTTTTTTTTCTCTCTCTCTCTCTCTCTCTCTCTCTCTCTCTCTCTCTCTCTCTTCCTCTCTCGATTTTGATTATTCTCTCTCTCTCTCTCTCTCTCTCTCCTGACACTTCCTCAATATGAATGTATGAGCGCGCGAGTGTAGGTGCAGTGGGCGTCTTATTCAGTGCGTGAGAACGCGATGTATTGGTTGGGTCAGTGGCGACGTTGCGCGCGTGCGCGAGTGCGCGCGCGACTGCGCCTTTGCACTTCGAGAAGCATCCGACTTGGTCGACGTCCGACGCGCCCAGGGCAACTGCCCGCTGGCATCCCGCGCGCGGGCAGCGTCGCCAATCAATCCCAGGCGGGCTGCTACGCCGAGCGGCGCGCGCGCGGGCATCAAGCGCGGGCCTTGGCGGAGGCCCGCGCGGCTGCAGATGGCGCCCGCCAGCGGCGCACGGGCGCCCAAGCGCGGCGCGAAACCCGCCGGTCGCGGCGCGCCCCCCCCCCCCCCCGACGTCGCCGGGGCCCGGGCGGTCGTTCGGCCATCGGACGCAGGGCCCGCGCTGGCGGCCGCGCCGGCGTTCGCGAGGCAGGGGCATCAGGGTCGGCGATCGATTGCGCGGCTGCTTTTCCTCATATATATATATATATATATGTATATATATATATATATATATATATATGTTTCTCCCTTTTTCGCTCGAACCCGCCGCCCGGGCGCCGCGGGGGCGCGCGCGCGGGTTTCTGCGAGCGCGCCCGAGGAAACGGTCCCAGTTGTTTGTCGGGGGCTCCGAGGCCCCAGCCAAGTCACCCCAGGGTGCCCGACCGAAAATCAAGGCCGCGCCTGGTGTCAACGCTCCAGGGCGCGCGTGGATAGACGCTTGCTGCGAAGGGGAAATCTGCAGAGCATCGCGGGGCGCGGCGCCCTTATCCCGCGCGGAAAGTCGAGGCCAATCTTGGAGAGCCCGACGAGCGGGCCGCAGATGATCTCGGGGCGCGCTTTTTCTGGGGAAGCGGGTTTCCCCGAGGGTTGGGAATCAGATTTGGGGCGGGGTCCTCGGGCAGGCGCTTGCCGCCCTCCTCCTCTTGTCCTTCGGCTGCCCTTGCTGTCGCTGCCGTCGCCCCCCCCTCCTCCGCCGCCCCTGGGGCGGCTGCCGCGGCGCGTCGCAGCGCGCGCTGACGACGGCCGTCGCCCCGCCATTGGAGGGCCCCCCTGAGGCGCCCGCTTTCTTCGCGCGAGAGGGGCCCCGAGGTGGGCCTTCCCTCCGCCCCCCCCGCGAGCACGCGGGCCCGCGAAAGGGGCCTCGTCGACAGCTCGGGGCCTCGCGGCGCATAGATGCGGTCGCCCATCGCGCGTTCCCCGGCCGTTTTTGGCCCGCGGGCGCGAGCCTGCTCGCGAGGCCAGCGCGGCCTTTTTCCGCGTAGGTCAACGCTGCGAAGCTGGCCATCCTCGCGCATTCCAGGGCTGCGGAACTCAGCGCGCCGAGCGGGCTTCGGGCCGCCGCGGCCCAAGCGGGCGGCCCGAGCAGGCGAATCGCGGAGGTTCGTGGACTGAGCGAAAATCGAGAAGTAGAAGCGCGCGACCAGATTGCCAGCTGGCGGCTTCAAGCTTATTCAGTTCTGCAACGGCCGGTGGTAGACAAGCCGCTAGAGCGGGCGCGCGCAGCATGGCCACCCGCGGCGCGCGCGCGCCGGCGAGCGGCTACAGATTTTCCAGACCCGGCGGTCGGGCCCATGACGGGGCCAGATTCACCGCGGGGGCCGCGGGTCGGACAGTCGCGAGGATTGGTCTGTTCTCATGGGCAGGTAGCCGCTCGCGTGGCCCAGCGGGCTCGCAGCGGGAACTCGCGCGAATCGCCGTCGCAGAGTTCCGCGACTGGGTCGCTCCATCGCAGGCATCTGGAGCGCCGTTCAAAAGTTCGAAGGGATCACCGTCGGCTGCGGGCGAGATTTTCGCCAAGGGCGGGGGGGGGCTCCATCGCCCTGCCGGCGCGGTTGATCACAAAGTGCAGCAGTTTTTTGCGGGCGCCCGAGGAGGCAGGCGAGGCGGGGGGGTCGGCCCTGCATCGCGCGGCGCGCCAGGGACTTCGCCACATCCCCATATTGAGTGGGCGCAATTGGAAAAAGCGCCGACGATTGAAGCCCCGGGCTGGACTCGGAACTGACAGGCTCACTTCGCTGGATGTGTAGAGGCATCCTACCTGCG